TGTCATTTGCTTAGTTTAGACATGCTTTGTGTGAATGCCACCTCTTTAGTGTCTAATTACCATATATGTGAATTATGCAATGCCATCTTGTTGCAAGACATTATATAAGTGAATTATGCAATGTTATCTTGTTGCAAGGCATTATGTATGTGAATTATGCAATGCCATGCTGTTTAGGCAAGCGTCATATATGTGAATTATATCATGCCGTCCTTTTTTTGTATTTCTCATTGCTTTTGTCGACAATGTTTGTATATTCAACTGCTCTTCCTGTGCATCAGCCATTTGAATTGGTGATGGAGAAATCTGGAGTGAAAACAAGGTCTTCAGAGGAGACAATGCTACCTGCTGAAGTAGATATCTTGCTGGTTACAGATACCTCTTTAGAGGAGGATTCAGAGGCAGATGACCAGTCCTATTATCCCCCTGAGGTGTATGCTCAAATTTGGCAGGGTTATATTACTCATATAATGCATATGTTGTATTGCAATGCTTAGTTTTTACGTCATATACACAATATTGAATGCCATCTCCTTAGTTGACACATCATATATGTGATTGCCCTCTGCTCACTTTCTTAGTATATAAATCATATATTTGAATTATGTCATGCTATGATGTTTACATAGACAGCATGTATCTGAATTATGGCATGCCAACCCATTTTCTAAACACATAATATAGTTATATCATCTCATCCTGTTTACATAGTCATCATATTTAAATTATGTCATTCTATCCGTGAATTATATCATGCCATCATGTTTCCATCGACGGCATGTTTGTGATTTATGGCATGCCAACCACTTTAATAGACACACGTATAGTTATATCATATCATCCTGTTTACATAGTCATCATATTTTAAAGTATGTCATTCTATCCTGTTTAGTTAGCCATCATACATGTGAAATTGTGTCATGCTATCCTGTTTAATTAGCCATCATATATGTGAAATTATGTCGTGCTATTCTGTTTGCTTAGACAACATAAATGTGAATTATTTCATGCCCTGTTTTCTTCCATACTATCCATTGTACCTGTCTATCTTACAATGTCTGTACATTCAATTAATTTTCTTGTTTATCAGCCATTTCAATTGGAGGGAGTGATGGCAGTATCTATGGGACTAAAAACACGGTCTTCAGAAAAGATCGTGCTACCTGTCGATGCAGATAGAACCACGGTTGTAATTGCCCAAGAACCAGCCCCACCACACATAACCCACACTTATGCAGATTGTACCCCTACCCAATTGGACAGAGAACCAGCTACACCCTTTCTAACCCCAACCCTAGCAGATAGACATCCAGTTCCCATTGACACAACACCGTCTCCACCACAGAGCACCCAAACACGAGCAGTTAGTAAGGCAACTGCAATGCCCAAATCACGAGGACCACCACTCCGAACCCGAAGTCAACACTTAAAGCAGAAGAAGAATTGTTCTCAGGTCAGGTTCCGTAGCTATGGTTCATACTACTTTGCTCTTGCATCACTGTATTTACTAATACCAACTAATTTCAAATTGGAAGGATGCAATTGAAACTCCAATGGCACAACAGGTATGTTTTAAACATGTTTCTTCAATGTGTTTGGCTGTTTGCTGTTGTAACTTGCTCCATGTTGATTTTAGTTTCAATTGAATAAACAGTTATGTTCTCATGTCATGCACATTACAAGTGTTGTTATTGCTGTGTAGTTTCCCACACTTATATTCTGTCTATGCTGCTTTGTCTTAAATAGATATGATTCGAACTGTATCTATCTTGATTTGGCAACATAAACTAGAATGATATAGACCATACAGTGACCATACTACATAGATATATGTTTGTTTCATGCTGTTATCCTGTCCACCTTACTACTGAACTGGTAAACCTGAGATGTGTTTGTTTGTTTCTCTTTTAGAACGGGGATAAAATATTGGAGAAGAGTACCCTGTTATGCAATCGTAAAGGAAGTAATGCAGATGTTCAAGATAGTAAGACATCCATGTTGGTCTCCAAGAAACCTGATAAAAACTATATTGAAGACACTGAGACAATCCCAAAGTCCTGTCTTGATGTAGTGTTCGAGTTACTGGCTACCACTGCTGGCACCAACTCTTCGAACTCGTTGCCTGAAGCAGTTCGGCTTCTTGAGTCTCAACTTCAAGTTGAAAGACATCGATCAGATGTTATGCGACAGGAAGCCGAAGGACTGAGGAAGTCCCTGCAGAATTCAGATGCATACTTTCTGGTGCAACAGCAAGTGCTGGAGGACTTAAGCGCCAAACAAGAGAAAGTTAATAAGCTTGCTAAGCATCTTGCCAGCATTATGGGTACCCAGGATATTGTTTCTTGAGCTCTTCTGAAGTAGTTTCAGTTCTGGACTTTTTTTGCTGCGGCGTTTATATGCTGCTGTGTTCCCTATATTTGCACTGGTGGCGAACTTTGATGCCCAGTGGATGTAATATGTGTAATAGCCGTGATAGCCTAGTGTAAGTTGCTTGCTTATTTATTTCCTTGTTGTCTTGTTTATTTGTTTGCTTGTAGTCACTGCGGTTCTTTTTCTGCGGTTTGCTAGTGGCTGCAATAACGTATTTTTTAAAACTAGGCCACAATAACAATGGGCTAATATTTACTGTAGTGACACTGGGCCTCCTACGGGCCGTAGAAACTGTGGGCCTTCTACGGGCCGTATAAACAGTGGGCCTTCTACGGGCCGTAGAAGCAGTGGGCCTTATACGGGCCGTAGAAGCAATGGGCCTTATACGGGCTGTATGATCGATTGGCCTATGGGCCGAACAGACCGCATTCTGGCCGTAAATGGGCTAGAGTTGGAATCGTCCATTCATGGGCCGACCATAACGGGCCATCGTTAATAGGCCGTATTTGATGACGCTATGAAAACGGCCTAACGTATTAATGGACCACAAACGGACCAACTGTAACCACGGAATGAATTTGGCCCACAAGCAGAAAATGATAGTAACGGGCTATAAGTAAACGAATGCTGGAAATGAGCCCAAGAATAAATGGGCTCTGAAGAAGGCCGGAAGATAACATGGGCTGGAAACGGCCCAACGGTATAACGGGCCGTTAATGGGTATAAAGTGATACACTGTTCATCACGGGTCAGTTTCACTACGGGCCATTAATGGGTGTAAAGTGATACACTGTTCATTACGGGCCAGTTTCACCACGGGCCGTTAATAGGCCAATAGTTACATAGGGCCTCATCTGGGCCGAAAGACGTCATGGGCCATACATGGGCCAGAAGTGAAAACGGGCTGGAATCATATTGGATGGCCCAGAAGACGCTACTGGGGCTAATTCGGATAGGGCGTAACGGGCCTTGGGTTAGCGGGCTGTAAATGGGCTATATTCGAATAGCCTGTTAACAGGCTTTCCATGGGCCGTCCCGCCAGCTTTTGACCAAGTCAAACGGGACGGCCTTTACACAGGAATGGGCCTCTTTTGGGCCGTGCCACGTGTCGACGTATCATAGGCGCCTATCTGACCCACCGACGAGCTGACACGTGTTTTGTTCGGCCAATAAGAATTTTACACGTGGAAATTTCCCATTGATCGGGGCTGTTAACGGGTTATCGGATTCAAAACCCGACCCGATAGCTTAACGGCGTTCCGTTACGGTGGATGCCACGTGTCGGTCACCCTTGACGAAAGCACTTGTGTGAGGCGCGATTTATCATCATGGAAGTGGACACTTCCGTGATGATAATTTTGGTAATTTTATGGAACACTTCTACGATAGCACATGTATGACTATCTTGATTCTGTCATAAATTTGTCATGGATGTACATGCATGACAAAAAAAGCGACCTACTGTGACAAACACGTATCATCACGAAAGTGTATTTTTTGTAGTGTTAGCTGGTATACGTGTTAATGACACACGCATTACTATGTAGTATGAACTATGACATACACGTTAGAAGTTGAATCATTTTTTTCTTCGGTCGTAGGATTTGAAACTCACAATTTTGTGGATCGCTTGTACAAAGTTTCAAAAGTTGAAACATTTTTGTCGGTCGTGGTATCTGAAAGCAACAATTTTGTCAATCGCTCATTCCAAGTTTCATAAGTTAAAACATTTTTGTGAGTCGCAAGATCTGAAATTCACAATTTTGTATTTTAGAAATTGAAACTTAATGAAAATTTTAGTAATTCATCAAAGCGTATTCAAAATGGATCTCATTTGAATGCACTCGTTATCACCAGAAACACAATATGCATTTGATATTTAATTTAGACTTTTAGTTCAAAAGATATGAAAAGATTAAAAATTGAAAGCCAAATTAAAAAGGAGGACGACAAGAATAATAATACGGTAGGGAATCAGTGGAGAAGAAGTACTCAAGAGAAAGTAGTTTTGGTGCCGTGTCAACTTTTCGTCTATTCTTCTTATATAGCTTTATTCGTTACAGGAAAAAAAAAGCCTGATGCAAGACATAAAGGAAACAAGCCTGATGCAAACGGGTGCATCTCACGCTCTTGTAGATGCATGCATGACCCATGCCTGACTACTACAAGCTCCACCGAGAAAACTCCAGAGACAAGATATGATTCTGGTCGACAGAATGTCCTGCCTCTCCACCAAGGACAACAGAGAAGCACATATTTTCACAGCAACACACAGCATCTACCTGATCTATCTATAAATAACTCCAGAAAAGAAGGAAAAATACTACATTTGCGAACATGTATCATATGTAACAGCAGCGCCGAAACGGAGGACCTGATCATCGATCTGAGTAATCAGCTTGGATGAGCTCCCTCACCCTTCTGCAGCAATCCAGGGTAAGTAGAATTAATGAGAGCAGAACATCAGTGGCAGCAAAAGGAGAAACAGCTTTCATATTGTTTTTTTTTTGTCAAATAAAAATAAAAATAAAAATAAAAGAGAAACCACAAGTCTTTTTTACGTTTGTTTGGATTGTTTCCTCGTTGTTTCCTTTGGCACTCTTTGCTGCGTCGGCCTTTTCCTGATCCGCCTTCTTGCTCCTCAACTTCTCCAGCTTCTCCCTCTCCATCTTCTGCAGATAAATAATATATATTATGTAAATACAGTTCAGTTTTATTTAGTCGAAACCTTTTTTTTCAATTGCTTCAGATGAACCATGGTCGTGATACAAATCTTCATCAAACTCTTAGATTCACAACAGCACCTACAAAAACAAAATAAGGCTAGACCCGCAGTGCACAGTTACCTGTATGTAGACGTTTTCAGCGGCGCGTTCCTCCTCGCTGAGCACCCTGCCGGAGCGGATGCTGTCGCTGAAGTAGCGTGGCGCGCGGCCACCACCGATGCCCTGCATCCTCCTCATCACTGTTACCCCAACGGCTGACCACGCGGGCCGGGAGAACCTCGCTGCGGCCGCTCTTATACTAGGCATCCGCAGACCTTGAGCTTCTTGTTCTCTGCCCAAGACTAGTACAACGACGATGGCGGCGTTGAATTGCCGATCAACTCACGTCCCACACTGAACTATTTATAGGTCTAGGGTGGTCTGAGTGCTTTGAAGCTGGTGCCCGATCCTTCTACTGAAGATGAGAAGGAATGAAAGATAGGCTCTCGAAGGTACCAAATAAAAGTGAAAGAAAGGAACAAAGCGGTTTCGAGAAACAGCACCTTCTTTTTTCTCTTTTTTATTTTTGAGCAAACCCATCATGCGCTTTTTTAAGGGAACAACGCTGCTTTATTCCTGAACGAGGTTCATGCGATTGTTACAAGAGAGTAGAGTTTCAGAATCATGGTAAACCCGAACCTACAGTGAGCGTCGTACGATATACTACTGTATCACACGTGGATTTGCTCCTTCGTTGAATTCAAATTTATTCGTTAGCCTTAAACTTAACAAACCCATGTTAACCATGGGCGCACCTATGTCTGAACGCCAGCGCATGATGGTCCGGCCCAGGCGCGCGCGAGGTCACTTTTTCCGGACGGCGTGGTGAGCAAGCACACCATCCTGCATGGTTCTCCGTGAACGATGTGCAAGGCGCAAGAAGAGACGTCCCCGCATGGTCCTCCCTGGTGAGCAAGCACACCATCTCAGGAGGCACCAAGGTCACCTGTTTTCAGTCTGTTCTTCTCATCTCGGAGAGTCCCTGACTCATGCTTTCTCATGGTACACTCTAGTTACATGTTGGACTGTTTCATGTTCTGAACAACGCTGTTATTTTAGTCTGATGAAATAATAATGTTGTTGATTCTTGCCAGTATGAATCTGGAACTAGAGAAACTTTGCGCGGCTAGATTTCCTGTATATATTGTTTACCTATTGCTTATAAATTTGATGTGCTCTGCCATACACAATTTTAATCATTATTACTTGTAAGAATATCGTGTGTAAAATGTTAAAGAATACACCATCTGGTATTATGAATTAAAAGCGGGTGAATAAAATGTGATGCTTTCTCTATTTGCAAATACGTAGACATGTCATCGAATGCACCGTCTTGAATTATTTTTCCCTATTTTCACATAGGTTATTTTTTGCATCCATGATGTTCTTCAGCAGCATATATTTTAGAGGGCAAGAGTCCTATTACAGTTACTTGGAATTTTTCATTTCATGTTCAACTTTTCAGGTTATATTTTATATTCAGAGGTAAATTTTATACTCCTTCCATTCCTAACTATAAGTCTTTTTAGAGATTTCAATATGGACAACATATGAAGCAAAATGAGTAAATCTACACTCTAAAATACATGTATATACTTCCGTACGTAGTTCATATGGAATCTCTAAAAAGATGTATATTTAGGAATGAAGGGAGTATAACATAAACTGATTTGTTTGTTTTTTATTTATTATTTTGAACTTCACATATAAGTCTATTGTATTCTTTGTCCATCTAATCATATCAGTTCCTAATATTATTGTTTTAAATACACTGACTCAAATCCTTACCAACGGTAAAATTTTGGTTTGCCTATCTATTTATTTACCTGACTCCAATATGTCGAGTGTTTTTTTTTTTGAACCAATAATATGAGTGTTGTCACCGTGTATGTGGTGTTTAATGAGTTGGCATTTCTACTGAAGTATTTTCTACTGTTGTCCTTCTATTATTGGTTGGCTTTGTTGAATTTATATGCCCATCCTTTAGATGTGTTGACTATATGGTTTCTGCATGTATATTGTATAGCCTGGCTCACCTCCTAGTCTTTGTATAGTTGAGGTTGTGGCCCACCTTGTACTCCATATATACGTGCGCTATGCACCGATCAATACATCATGAAGCATTGCCAAAACTCTTGTCTCCAATATGATATCATACCTAAGATCCTAACCCTAACCCGTGTGCCGCCACCGCCGCCGCGATCCCCATCGCCGCCGCCGCCGCCGCCACCCACCACCGCCGCCGTCGCCGCCGCGACCACCACCCCCGTGTGCGCTGCCGCCCCCACTTCCGCCTCCACAATACCGCGCCACCACCCGGCCGCGCCTCCACCCCTCGGCCGCGCCGCTTCCCCGCGAGACGCCGCCAACCCCTTCCCCCCATGGCCTCCCCTGGCTCCTCCGGCACCACCTGCAGCCACCGCACCAACCCTTTCGAAGGTCCCGATCCCGTCGTCATCCGCGATCTCAACATCCTCGCCCAGGTTCCCGTCGTCCTCGACCACCTCACCTCCACGTACTATGCATGGAAGACGTACTTCGCCCTCGTGTTCCGGGAGTACAACATCTGGGATCACATCGATGACTTCGTGGACTCCCGCTTCATGGAGGACGATGAGGAGTGGATGTCCATCGACGCCACTCTCATCCGTTGGTTATACACCACCATCTAGAAGGACCTCCTCCACACGGTGGTCTCCGCGATGATGATGCTCACGCCGTTTGGACCAAGCTCAACGGCCTCTTCACCGACAACGCGCTCCAACGCAAGGTTTTCTTGCACGGCGAATTTTTTGGGTGCCAGCAGCTCGACACGTCTGTTGATGATTACTACATGCGCCTCAAGAAACTTGTTGACGAGCTCCGTGATCTTGGTGAGAAGGTCTCCGACGAGCTCCTTCTCAGCACCCTCATCGCCGGCTTGAACGACGATTTCGGGAACGCCGGCTCCAACATCCCCCTCATCACTTACCCGACGTTCCAGAAGATCGTTGCGTACCTGAAGTTGGAGGAGCGGAGGACGCGGATGTCACGCACCCGGGCCACCCACACCGCCCTCACCGCTGGTACCCGTGGCGGTGCGCCGCCCACCGCCCCGCCGAGGCCCATCAAGGGTCCCTTCCCAGCGCCGCTGCCGCCCGGGTTCCCGTACCCGCAACAGCCGCCGGCCCCGCTGCAGCCCCCCGCCGAGCAGCAGCAGCAGCGCCGCGGGGGCCAACGTGGCCGAGGCGGTCGCAAGCCGCAACAGCAGCAGCAGCAGCCGGCTGCGCCCGGTGGGGCGCCATGCCACCACCAGCAGCAGCTCCCACCAGCGCCCTGGTAGGCCGGCCAGAACCCCTCGATGCGGGTTGTGAACACGTACTCCATGCCTATACCGTGTGCCCCCGTTCCGGGCCTCTTCGGCGCCCGCCCGGCCGCTCATAAGGCGCTTCATGCGGCCCCTCAGCCGTACCCGCCCGTGCCGCTCTACGGCCCCTCCGCGGCCTACGGGCTGACCTCGGCCGGTTGGTTCGTGGCGCCACCGCCTCAGCCGGCGCCGTCCGCCCCGGCTCTTCCGCCGGCACCTTGGGACCCCGTGCTACTAGCGGCCCTCCACACAGCTCCCACGCCACAGCAATACACTGGCGGTGGCGACTGGTATATGGACACCGGAGCCACGGTTCACATGGCCGCCAACCCCAGTAACCTTCTTGCCGCTCACCGCGTTCACACCGCTGCTCGCATTACCGTGGGTGACGGTTCTTCCATGCCTATTACTCATGTTGGCCATGCTACTTTTCCTTCTAACTCCATGCCGTTAAATCTTGTTTCCGTTCATTCTCTTACATGTGAAAATCCGGTTACCGTTGAATTTGGCCTGTTTGGCTTTTCTGTTATGGATGGCCGTACCCGGATGGTGCTCCACCGATGTGACAGCCTCGACGAGCTCTACCCGGTCCACTCATCCACTTACTCTGCTGCTGCACCCATGGCGCTTTCCGCCAGAGTGGACCTTTGGCACGCCCGTCTCGGTCATCCCAACACCGCCACCCTTCGTCATATTCTTCGGAGTTTTTTATTCACGTGTAATAAGTTCGACGATCACATTTGTTATGCTTGTCTTCTCGGCAAACATGTTCGTCTTCCTTTTAGCAATTCCTCGCATGTCGCATCATACCCGTTTGAGTTAATTCATAGTGATGTTTGGACCTCTCCTGTTGCAAGTAACACGGGCTATCTTTATTATCTTGTCATACTTGATGATTTTTCGCACTATGTGTGGACCTTCCCATTGCGGCGAAAGTCGGACTCTGTTTCCACTCTCACCGCTTTCTACTCCTATGTCTCCACACAGTTTGGACGTCCCATTCATGCGTTGCAAACAGACAACGGGAAGGAGTTTGATAACCTTGCGATCCGCAACCTTCTCGCCACACACGGCACGATCTTTCGTCTCACTTGCCCGTACACTTCGCAACAAAACGGCCGTGCTGGGCGCATGCTCCGCACTCTTAATGACTGCGTTCGCACGCTCCTCTTCCACACCAACATGCCACCACGTTTTTGGCCTGACACGCTCGCCACCGCATCACTACTCAATAACATTCGTCCTTGTTGCACTCGCGGGAACTTTGCACCTCATCACCTCTTGTTTGGCACGCCACCTTCCTATGCTGAGCTCCATATTTTCGGTTGTCTGTGCTACCCCAGCATCGCTTCCACTACCCCTCACAAGCTTGCACCTCGGTCTGTGGCCTGCATCTTTCTCAGCTACCCCCCCAACACCACAGGCTACCGCTACTATGATCCTATCTCACATCGGGTGATCACTTCACGACATGTTTACTTTGATGAGATGGTTTTTCCGTTTCAGCAGGCACCTTCGGATGTTATGGCTTTGCCCGCTCCCGGTGACGGCTGCCCACATGCTTTTCTTGGGCTGCCTCCCGGCTTTGAGGGTGCCCCCCGCGGCACGGGTCGAGTTTCTCCCCGGTTGGCTGCCCTGGGGGCTGCACCTTCATCGGCGCCCGCGAGGCCCTTGACGTCCTCGACCACGCCGTCGGCCTCGCCCGTGCGGCATCACCCGCCGCCTCGCCGGCGGCCTCAACCGTCACCTCACCCGCGGCGGCCTCGCCTGTGGCGGCCTCGCCGGCGGCCTCACCCGCGGCTTCGGAGGAGACGGGCTCTTCCTCGTCGTCACCCGTCTCCGCTTCGGACCCGCTGCCCCGTCCGATGACTCGCTCTCGGGCTGGCACCCTCTGCCCGAGCACACGGTACCCCAGCGATGA